ATATTGATAGTTTATTTATTCAAATAGTTAATTTATTTATGGAAAACAATTATTAATGAAGTTTACATTTTTAAACATTTTGAACAATTAATATTAAACAATTTTATAAATTAATTTTAATATTTAAATTGTTATATTATAATATATTATATTATAATATAAATAAAGTATTAGTTGTTACAGGGAACCTTATTTGGTGGCTCTAAATAGAGATTATATAAATATTTTTATGAATAAAAATTTTTATTATAAAGTGAATTAAATATACCTTCTGGGAGATAATGGGTTTGTTAAATACTCTTGGCTAAGATCATAAGAAGGGAGGGCAGCAACATCATCCGGACCAGTTGATAATTGTCAATCAGAAATATGCTTATATTAAAGCGAAATCATAGAAATATTGAGTGTTTCCAAGAATTTACAAAAAATAATCCAATCAATTAGTTATTATTTATTGCAAAATTCACTATATTGTACTTTAACTTTAACATTAATTTAATATTATTTTAAATAAAAATATTTTTAAAAATAAAATATAATTTTAAACATAGTTGCATATTAACCATTTTTTATTCATTTTTTCTTTCCGTGCGAGAACATTTACTCGTATGGGTGCANTAATGGGTTTGTTAAATACTCTTGGCTAAGATCATAAGAAGGGAGGGCAGCAACATCATCCGGACCAGTTGATAATTGTCAATCAGAAATATGCTTATATTAAAGCGAAATCATAGAAATATTGAGTGTTTCCAAGAATTTACAAAAAATAATCCAATCAATTAGTTATTATTTATTGCAAAATTCACTATATTGTACTTTAACTTTAACATTAATTTAATATTATTTTAAATAAAAATATTTTTAAAAATAAAATATAATTTTAAACATAGTTGCATATTAACCATTTTTTATTCATTTTTTCTTTCCGTGCGAGAACATTTACTCGTATGGGTGCACTCGACCTCTGGCTAAGCGTATCCATGTGATTCATACAAAACACATTCATTAATTAAATCAGTTTTTGATTTTCAAAAATATGAATTCTTTATAATAATTTTATATGAATATTTGTTTATATAAATACTCGTTTGATTAAATTCTGACTATTTATTAAATTTTTCTATAAATTTGTTGATTACTCAGCAAATTTTATTATTCATAATATATGTTTTCATCGATTAATAAAGGTTTGAGTGTTTTATCAATTGAATATTCATTGAAAATTATTTTAAAGGATTCAAATATTGAAAATCAAAACTGATTACAATAGTGAATAAGTTTTGTAGTAATCACAGTCATACACATAGCCACCATTTATAATACCCACTTTTTGTCCACTATTATTGCATTCCTAATTATAAGTTATAATTAATAATGATAATATACTACACTATGTCTGTATGTTTAGAAAATGTTGACCTGTTTATATTAATAACTAAAATTTATTGCTTTGAAATAACTACTTTTGTAATTTACATTAAATATCGATAATTAATAATAGGTGTAATATAAAAACTTAATTTCAATTACAATACTAAGCTGTAGTACACTTTACATGTGAGAGACTGAAAACTAAATGTGTGGAAATCTTTACATTCAAAACTAAAAACTTTAATAAAAACTTTGTTTTACTTACGGTTAATATTTAAATGTTTTATTCAATGAGAAAATAGTATAGATAAGCACGTTAAAATACCAGAATATGAATTGTGGAGATCACATTATGAGCATACAATGTGAAATTATTTCTTATAAACTTTATTATAAAATTATAATATTTAATGTGCATGGAAATTTTTCATGTAATTTACTTTACATTCTTTAATATTAGTATTTAAACTAGTATTGACATCAAGAACTGTGAGCACAGGTAGGATTTTTCCAATTCACTTGTGAGACATCAGTCATTAACTGGCGAACCTTCAGTACACAGACACATACCTGTCCTCTTATATTGTAATAAATGTTAATATAATAAATGTGTTAAATAGCAATCAATTTGAATCACTAAAATGTCATCAATTGTGAAAAAGTTAAGCATTTGTGACAAAATACCCGAAAAAACGAAACAAGCCATCAGTTTATTATACGCTTTCGACGACTCGGAAGGGGACAACATATTATTCATTACCACCGATGACTGTGTCTACGGTATGGGCGCCAACACTCTGGGCGCACTTGGATTGGGACACAATCGGCTAGTCTTGTCACCACAACTGATCCCAGAGCTATCACATCAAGAGATTCAACATTTCGTTAATGGCTTTGACTTTGTTTTAGCCATTAATGCCGAGCGACAGGTGTATAGTTGGGGTCACAATAGCAGCGGACAGTTAGGACGCGAAACTCCGCAGTTTGCCTACTATTTTAAGCCCAAACGCCTGAGCCGTTTCGACTACCGGGATGTCATACAAGTGAGTTGTGGTTACTTTCACGCCCTGGCGCTCACCACCGATGGCGAGGTGTACGGGTGGGGCGCCAACGCCTGGGGTCAGGTAGGCTGCGGGTCCAGCAAGCTTCGCAACATACCGGCCCCCATGCGCCTGTGCTTCCCCAGCAAACATGTCATAAGCGCTGTCTATTGCGGGAAATACACGTCGTTTGCGGTGACGTCGGAGGGACTGGTGTTCAGTTGGGGGCAAAATCAGTACAGCCAGTTAGGGCACGACAACGACGGACAGTGCGTTTATGCGCCCAAATATGTGATGGGTGTCCAGAATGTCAAGACTATCTGCCCGTCCAATACAGTCAGTCATTTGTTAACAACGGATGGTTTGCTGTACTTTTGCGGTCAGTATTGTATGAATGATATTAATAGTTGTTCGGGAAAGACACCAAAACTATCGGTCAGAGAGCTCAAGTCCGGTATTCAAGATATGCGACAAGTGGTGTCATACAAAAGGAATGGTATGTCAATAATAACGGCGCTCTCGGATGGAGTGGTTCATGTGATATACTGTTCAAACCTGATTGTGGCCACAGTTTATCATAATTTTCATGACTTTTATGTCAGTGAATGCCAATTGACTGAAAATCCTATTGATTTAAGCGATGAAAGTGATGAGCGTTTATTGAATCAATTGTCAAACTCTGGACAGACACCCAGAGAGCATCTATACGAGAGTGTGGACTATCCGGGTATATATTTATTTATTTTTTGATTTTATGAAATAATTATTTTTTTGTACATCAATGAAAAGCAATCAAAGCTAAGAAACTAGAGGCCAGGGATCAGGAAATCAATGCACAAACGGCTACTAATCTAATGAAAACTACGTTAAAGACGAGTCATTTTAATCCATTTAGTGTGACATCAAAGTCTACTCCGCTATCGGAAAGCCTACAAATGACTACTAGTAAAGTGATTGATATGAATAAAGGTCTGGAAGAAAATATTAAAATTCATGTGAAAGTCATTCAACGGATGAACGATAAGAATCGCGTTATCATTGAGAAAATCAGACAAACAGTTAACAATGAAAGTGATCGTACAGTGAATTTTGTGACCATTAATACACAGAGAAAACAAAATGCTATCAGTTATGGTGAGATAAAAGCATTTAAAAAATCTATTAATTTTAATAATTAATTTTGTATCCAGATATTTATGAAAACGATGATAAGAATTGTGAAGAATTTCTACAAGAATTAGAAGCAAAGAGTATTACAGTGAATGACATGAACTTTGGGTCGCCGGGACTTTCGGTTTTAAGCACTGGTAGCACATATTATGACACATTTTTATCCGGATCATAATAATTAATGTAAAATTTAATAAATCCGCAGATAGTTCGCTAACTAACGTGACTGATCCTGATGAGACATTTGATGCCAAATCAATAGATTTGATTGATTTGCTGGAATACCCCGAAAGGAGTCGACAGGAATTACTTGAATATCACAATAAACTGCAGGAAAACATTGAAAACAAATTCATTGAACCAGAGTTCGTAACGATTGTGGACAACGAGGACTCGGGTTATATCAATGAAACTGATTGTCAGGTTATGGCCGATGATTGCCAACTAAATCAATCCTCTGAATACGAGCCCTTAATCACAGGTATTATAAAAATTGATCATAAGTTGTATTAATTTTTATCTCTTAAATAGATAAACAATTAATGACTAGTGATTCAATTGATGGCAAACCAAAGACTTTGTTTAAAATGTTTCACTGGAATGAGAGTTTCGGTGCCATTCATAAGGAAATATCAAATTTAGTGCCAAAATCGGTGACAATGCTTGAAATGGGAGCCAATAAATTGTATACTAAAACACAAAACACTGATAATGATATTAAATGTGGTCAGAAATCTGTTAAACAATTAGTGAGCGAATGGGAAGATGTAATTAGTCTCTAAAACAAGATTTTAATTTAAAAATTAATATAATTCATTATATCTAATGTTATAAATAATTTCAAATTATTACTTAATTATTGTGATTAATTAAAAAGCAATGCAAAGTGAGATATAGGATACTATTATATACCGTATAATAAATCTATAAAATTAAATAATTATATTCTAATGGTATTGAAAAATAAAATAATAATCTATGAAATAGTTTTCAATTAATTTATTATATCAATTCATACAAAATAGTAATAATAATAATAATAACAAGTGTGATAATGAATGAGTTTTTTATAATTTCATAATTAAATATAGTTTCTAATTAAACAAATAACTATCAAAAATTGTTAAATTTAAGTAAACAAAATTAATTCATGATTTGTTGGCATTATTAGTGGTTCTCGTCATATACTGTATGGCCATTTGGCGCACAGTAACCGGAGATTTACACTGATTTTTGCGCTCATTATTGCCATCTTTGCCATCAATTGTCTCATTTTTTCTGTCATCTCTACATTCTTCATACAGTTTCTGAATCTTTTCATCTATTGAGCTCTCATTACCACTCAGTGTGTCAACGATTTCATTGATTGAAGTTTTATCTGTAATACAAACAATTAACAATTCATATAATAATAACTTAAATAATTTACTCATGGTTTCAGATTCTGTGCTAATGATTGGCACACTTTTTGAGGGTTTTTGTTTTTCAGACTTATCCGGATCAATTTGTTTGCTGTTGTTTGACTTTTTACAGATTTTAATAGTCGTGACATTAGATTCTTCATGGGAATTATGTTTAGATCTGGAGTTATATTCTTGAATTAATTTGCAAACATTTATCGGACTCTCAATACTATCAAACGATTTCACAGAATTATAGAAACTCTTATCCAGGTCCTCATTGAAGTCAATTAATGAATTATCTGAAAAACAATATATTTTAGCATTTTATTTAATATATTTCTAATACATGTCTTACTTGCATCAGAATTGTTAGATTTTGGACTTAAATCTACATTATCTCTACTGTTCTCATCAGATCCCAAATTCTGTGAATCAGTCGATTCTTTACGACTCTTTTCGATGCTTTCGTTCACATCTATTATCTTATAATTAGCTCTATATAAGCCATCAGTTGAGTCCTTGCTTACCGTACCTTTACCTATGATTTTATAATAAAATTTAAATCACTATATTACAAATTAATATTAAAGAATATTCTGTACTTACGTTCACTAAACACACTAGTAGTCAATTCGTAACATTTTGGGCCCAATTTTGTCATATAATCTAATTTCATCTGAAGGACAGTCTTATTGCTAAGATATTGATGATGATGCCCAGTGTCCCTGCTATGAGCCCAGTCATCAATTGTGACAATACTGTCCCGGTGTTTAACAGTTTGTTTACAAACAAAATTTAAACAAATGGTTTTGTAAGTCATATAACACTTCATTGCATAGTAATCACCAAAATTATCACATTTTGTATCCAATATCTCATTTGAATCAGTTATCGCATACACCTTATAGCCATCGAAAGCGGTGGGCACTGACTCGCTCCGGCAGTACGAGACGATTAGCCCCAAGTCCTGGAACCGCTTGTCTGTCATCATCAGCATCGGTACCTTCTGAATGAACCACGGATTCTCTCCACAATAGTACACCAAACCCTCGTTCGTGAGGAAATGGGTGGCCTTTGCCGAGGGACATACAGTCTTTATGCCGCACAGGTTGTGGACCAGTCTGGGCTGACATACTTTGGGGGCGTTGTGTCCGATTTGGTACTTCTCGTTGTCGCCCCAACTGAATACCAATCCGTCGACCGTCACCGCAAACGACGACGTTTTCGAGCAATAAATCGCTTTAATCTTATTTGTGTTCAACTCCATCTTCACGGGACTTCTGATAAACTGATGATCGCCACCACAACCTACCTGTCCCTCTCTATTATCACCCCAACCGTAAACCAGACCATCGGCGGTGAGCGCCAGCGAGTGACTGCATCCACAGCTGATATCCACCACTCGTTTGTCGTTGAGGGCGGAGATCCGGTTGGGTGTGTGTTGCGATACAGTGGAGCTCACCTGCCGGCCCAATTCGCACTGGTAGTTCTGACCCCAACTGTTCACCAGGTGGTCGGTGGTCAGGGCTAAGGCGAAGTCCATACCGTGAAAAAATTTGCACACATTCTGGTGACTCAATTCGTGGATGCGTTCGGTCATGTCGTGGACGGGCAGGTTGTGTCCCAGTCCCAGACAGCCCCTATAGTTAGATCCCTTTCCATAACACAGGTCTTCGTTTGTTACGATGAATACATTGAGGCCTTTGTCGTCGTCGAAGACATAAAGGTATTTAGCGATGAGTTTAATATTGTCTTCAATTGTGTCGCAAATGCTAAACATTTGCAGATTTAATGACATTTTTTCGGCTAATACTTGAGTTTTAATTAAAAGATTTTAATCTCAAGCTATAAGCCACACGTGTGGTCAGTAAGGAAATGGCAGCTAAAATGGGAAAGGCATCAGTGTATGACTTATAAGAAATATCTAATTATTAGTAATAAATATCTCATTAATTCATTAGTAGACAATAAAATGCTCATAAATTACTCATTTGATTGAAAATTCAGTAATGAATCTGTACCTTAAAAACTAATGATAAAAACTATTGCTAATTATACTGTATAAAAACCTCATAATTACTTATGAATACTTTTTTGTAAATTATTTATGGGTTTATTACTTGTCCATTGGGTGACCAAGACAAGTTGAGTCAAGACCTTCAAAATTAATATTTCAAATCTATTAACTTTGAGTTTTTAGTTAAAAATAAATTATCAACTTTATGTAAATTATTTTTATTCATTTATGATATACTGATAAAATGATTAAAATACAACTTTATTTGATATTCATTGTCAGTAATAAGACATTTAGATAGCATTATAATCTTTTTAACAGATTTATAGCAATGAAGAGACGTTTCCATAAGAGATATGACGGACTTGTCATCCAATGCTAATTCCGATCGATTCTTGGCTTTATTGAAGAATACAAATATAAATACATAGAAAACCAAAACAAAGAATTTGCATTCATTTAGCATATAATCCCTGGAATTGTATTCTTTGAGACCATAGTTGTGTCCAAACAGTTGCTGGCATTCAGTCGTGTAGTACTCAATGAATGACTTCATTGTAGACTCCAATGGAAACTCGTTTTCAAAGTTTTCATTACTTGAGATGAAAAATGAGAAAAATGATCCGAAATCATAGCCACGCCATGTATAACACGAATAATGAAAATCAGTCAAAACGAGTCCATTGTCTCTTCGTGACCAAAACATTTCCTCCTCTGAAGTGATTGTGAGAGAAGACTAGCGGACAGTCAGACCAATGCTTCCCAATGTATGCTATCATCCATTGGATCTCTCCTTTCAAATCAAACT